AGAACGGAATTACGTCGAGACGTAAATCAATTAAGGGCAACAAAGATGTCGTAATTGTTCATGACGTAAACGCTCAGCAGCACTACATCAATTAAGTAATATCGATTCAATTGCTCTAGATTATAAATATAAATCTTGCATTTGAACATAGCTAATTGTAAGCATTGTGAATAATGAACAGAGCTCAAGAAAGTGAACTTTTGCATTATTTTATGAGAAAACTTTCAAAGTCGACCTCATTTCTCCACAAAGTACAAGCAATAAGCGAAAGCAATAACGAAAAAATGTGGAACACTCCGAAACGATTGTGTTATCTCATCAATTGACACGAGAGTGAATTTGCACATAGTGTTCAGCTGATATTGTTTTCAGAATGATGCTAATAACATGTAACAACAGGACTTTTGTTGTGGGGCATGAATAATTCGCATGCGGATGATTGTACGAGATCAAAGTATGCGAGAACACGAACACAAAGAGCAATCAATGAATTCGATGCCTTCACACTTCGAAAGAATTTTTCGAATGCTTCAAATTCCTAGATTTATGACAGTTGTGATTTTATTTTCTCTTCAGACAATCAACTGCGCGGAAGAACACTTGATCTGTAAAGAATGTTTGAGAAATTTCACGATGGTACTTGAACTTCCGTATTTGTACTGCACTCAACGATATCACTGAAGAGCGCAAATCCAAATCTATAGCAAGTCATTCTCACTGAAGAAACTTGCGATATTAAGCTGGTGTTATTGTCATCATAGCATTGCTCCTTATGAGGGCAGCACTGATGAGGACATGCTCAATTTGTAAGAAATGTTGGAAGTAGTTTGCAAATGTGCGTCTGAATGTTTACACTTTAATTCTTAACTATTTCCACTCGCTTATCAGTCGACGTATCGAACAAATCTAGTGAACTGACTCTCCCTTTAGCTCTGAATAAATAAACTGCTAAAACAGTTGCAGTTCTTGAAAACCCAATAAAACACAATGAAACTCCCAAAACAATCGCCAATTAATCTCCAACTTTAAGAACTGAATCTACAACCGCCAATGAAAACTGTAAAAATTGTACACCGGCCCAGAAGTGATCGTTTGAATCTGGAGCACAACAGACGAGCCGAATGGAAAGCAACGAAGGCAATGAATCGTTGTCGCTTGATAATTTACTGGTTAGCGATGAAGTTGGGCAGCGAGCGCTATCGTTATTGCTCAAAGCGATCGAATGATATGGTGATAAACAACTGATAAGGTGGATGGAGTTGGAAATGTTCGATAAATATTTTCGAGAAGCGAATAGAATCAGCAGCAACAACAACGAACGAATGAATCGGGGAAGAGCAAACAGCAAGCGACGATGCAAAATGAAATGAGTAAAGAAGTCATCATTCTTTTTGGAATCTGTTGTGTGCGCATTGGGGAAAAAGGCAAACAAAAATATATTTACGATCTGGATGATTTCTTTAGCATTTTTTCCATCTCCAACTCATTCTCGAGAATGTTTATTCACAACTCGTTGTCAAAAAACAACGATCACTCGAGCAATTCAATCATTTCTTGACATCTCTCATTCGACTCATTCATCATTGTGAAAAACCGCATTGCATTGTTTACTTGCTTCCACCATTCAAGCCGCTCTTCTATTGTGCAGATAATCTCAAAACATTCGAGCTGGATGATTGTTTCACTTTCTTATTGCAGTAATGCAAATAGCATTCAGTGGCGTTGAGATTGGATAAGAGAAGTTTTGAAATTGCCGAGTCGTCTCAAATTTTAACGCACTTAAGGTCAAGATTAGCCGTTAAGGTCAGCATACAATTGAACCATCAAAATATGTGTGGCTCAACCAAAGTTTAATATCACGTCCAGACTTAATATTTTTGTTTTCAACAGTAAGCGTAGAGCAGACTCTAAACACTATTACAACCAGCACCAATCGAAATAACTTTCTTGCCTATTTGAGGAATTAACTTCGGTCTGGTTCTTTCATAAATTAGAGTCATTCACAAATTCTCACATAAACATTGCCGTTAAATTGAATTGGCGATGTGCATTCGTGCCTGGTTCCTTGTGCAATGACAGCTTTACAATTCCCAAAGTCATCAGAATGCGAAAATATTTTCGTTCATTTCAAAATAAAGATAATGGATGACTGCTGATTTTTAGTGTTCGTTTACTTTTTCGTTTTCTCCAACAAAAAAAAAACCGAAAACAATTATAATTTGATGATGAATTTGGATGAAAATAATGACAATGAGCAAAAATACAGAGTACATTGCATAGATCACTTGAATGGCACTTTTATTTTTTGCTCTTCATCTACTTCGTTTGTTCGTTCGCACAAATTTTGATTCTTCTCTTTAGAAATTCTCTATTCGCATTCTTTTTTTGTGTTGAGGTCAGCAGATGTTTCACTGAATCGATAGACATATCATCTCGGGTAAAAAAAGCTCGCCGAGACATATTCAAAAGCTCAAGTCGCCCCAAATCGGATCAAAGAAACTCCGGCATTTGAATTTGATGTGAATTTTCAAATATTTCTCAAGAATTTTGTATATTCTCCGAAAAGTTTGCATTGAACTGAAATCTTATCACTGCAAGAAAAACATCGATGGAAATGTTCCTTCCTCTCCAATTATGATGGTAAATAAGAGACGATGAAAAGTGATGAAAACGACTTGTTGTATTCTTTATAGACTGAGTCGAATTGAAGCTAGACGTTCTAAGCAGAACAATT